ATACTCTGTTTTTAAACCAGGAGGAGTATTTTAAATTTGTCACCAGATTGACCTTGCACGTGATTGGTTGAATGCGAGGAAGGTTCACACACAGGCAATTTTAATTTTGAATTTGAAGGTTAGGTTATTGACAATTCGACAGTTTCGTGTCATTATTGTAAATTTTGTGTTCTTAAACCCTTCTTTATTATATTTTGAAATAAATACACTCATAACTTCAATGTTAATTTGTATGTTTAGTGTTGACGATAACAAACGAAAATAAATACAATAATAAGTAAATAAATAAATAATAATAATTATTAATTTAAATTTACCGCCAAAATATCTAGTGATATTTTCTGGTGATTTTTCCTAGTGTAAATCTAACTTTCGCGTTTACTCCTCCTGGTTTAAAAACAGAGTATAGTATCTTGATTTTTAATACATTTTGTAATTTGATCGTAATTCTTCATCTAAATCTGAGTATGTCGTTATATTTCCTATAAAGTTCAAAACCGATACATTCTTCTATCCCGGATTATGAGATTACGGAATTAATTTCAAGTCAAAGGGAATCTGGTAGCTTTATCGAAAATTTTATCAATTCGTATCAATCAAGAAATTTCTATCATCAAATATTTTCAATTATATAATATTTAAGCTGATTATTTAACTCAATTTATAAAAAAAAAAAACTTTTTCACCATTAATAGTTGAATCACCAAGGAAGAAACCACAATAATGAAATTTTTAACAAGTCTAAAAAATAAATGATTCATCCACCGTTTTTGTAACTCTAAGTTATGATTAAGAACGTAACATTTAGTGTTTCATATATATTAACACATTTAATTGAATAATGTGTTAGAAGTTAAATTAATTATAAGACTTGAATTAATTTTATTTACAAAATCTAACATAGAACTAAGAAATCTTTGTTTGCGGTTTATTTTTATTTAAGTATTTATTTTTTTTAAATAATCATTTATTAATCAAACAAAAAAATATATAAATAAATGTTAATATGTAAATTTGTTGTTGGGGATTTTATCGCTTTAGTTCCAGGCTCCAGTATAAGATAAGCAGCAGAGATTCGAACCGGGTCATTGTTTATTTATGAATTGGACAGTGGAGAAGGATTTTTAAAAAATGTCTAAAAGCGGAACAGGTAATTCTATTAAAAATAATAATTCATTTGAATTTTGTTTAAAAAAATCGGCTAAATTTCTAGTTTATATTGTAGAGCTACAAAAGTCGCAGAAAGTTGCCCAAATTTTAGACGTTGTCGCAATTGGGTTTGCTGAATTCTTCGGAACGGCTATTCTCGTTTTTATTTCGTGTTTAGGTGCTAGCAAATGGATCGTCGGTGCTGATTTGATTTTATTTCATTCTTGTTTCGCTGCTGGACTCGCTGTTACAACAGCTATTCACGTAAGTTATAAGTCAATAATAAAGTAATTAGTGTTATCTTTTAAAAAATTCTAATTTGAATGGTTTTGTGTAAATATCTGATTAAGGTGGTATTTAAATAACCTAGTGGGGGTGTTATTAATTTTTTTTTAATTAAATTTCAAAAATCATGTCAATTATTATGAAAATATGGATGGTTATATAACAAATAGTCTGTTAGTTAAAGTTATTTATTCCGTCTGAATGTCTAAACCCGAAACTTTCTAGTTCTAAGTCAAGTGTTAGTAAACATTTGAGTTTAGTCGTACGTTTTTCAAGACGGCTAAACCCGAATAATTTTAGTTCTTGGTTTAGTATTAGTTCTAATGACAGAGCTAGTGTAAAAGTAAAAGTAACACTAGACCTAGAACTAGAAACATTCGGGTTTAGCCGCACGTCTCTCAAGACGGCTATACCCGAATGATTCTAGTTCTAGGTCTAGTTTTAGTTCTAGTGACAGTACTAGTGTAAAACTAGAACTAACCGTGCGTCTGAAGATGCACGGCTAAACCTGAAACTTTCTAGTTCTAGGTCTAGTGTTAGTTCTAGTTTTACACTAGCATTGTTACTAGAACTAACACTTTACCCAGAACTAGAATCATTCGGGTTTAGCCGTCTTGAGAGACGTTTGGCTAAACCCGAATGTTTCTAGTTCTAGGTCTCGTGTTAGTTCTAGTTTTACACTAGCATTGTTACTAGAACTAACACTATACCCAGAACTAGAATCATTCGGGTTTAGCCGTCTTGAAAGACGTGCGGCTAAACCCGAATGTTTCTAGTTCTAGGTCTAGTGTTAGTTCTAGTTTTACACTAGCGTTGTTACTAGAACTAACACTTTACCTAGAACTAGAATCATTCGGGTTCATTCTAGGTCTAGTGTTAATTCTAGTTTTAATTCAATGCAAAACTAGAACTAAAACTTGATTGAGGTGGTAAATCCCCTTACGAAATTATTTAAAACTTCGTGAAGGGATTTATTAATTTTTTTTCGTTAATTGTTTTGAAAATATTCATGATATCTAACAAATAGTCAGCTAATGTTATTTATTGTTACATTTCAGTTTTTTTATTGACAGATTATTATCTCCTGGTATTACGATTTAAAATCGTGGTTATAAATTTTTTGGTAGCTAATAAATTATATATCTTAAGCCAATATTTATGGCAATAAAACGTTTAATTACCATCTAAAAAAAACTCCTAATCATTTTTGTTTCAATGTAAACGAAAATATTCCTTGTTTTCTTCTTCCCATAAATATGTTTTTCAATTTTACTAAGAAAAAGTCGTTAAAATTTTGATGAGGTAATATAAGAACTTAAAATTAAAACAAAAACAACATAATATTTTTTCTCCTTAATTATTGAGTTTGGAATATTAAAGTATTATTTTTTATAGATTTTTGGTCCAATTTCCGGTGCTCACGTAAACCCAGTAACAACAGTTGGCGCTTTTATTATGAACCAAATCCCGCTTTATATGGTTCCTATTTATATTATTCCACAATTAGCTGGAAGCACTGTAGGATATGGGTTATTAATGGTAAATTTATTTAACATATTTTTTTGATTTAAAACTAAATATAATTTAGGTTGTTACACCGGAAGCTTTTTTACGAGCACCAGAAGATCCAAATTTTAAAGACCTTCCAAGACATGGAATTGGGATGAATATCCCTTCAACGGATATTTACCCTTCTCAAGTAAAAATAAATAAGTTTCGAATAAAAATGATTTGATTAAATAATTTTTTTAAGGCTTTAGCTATGGAGATGTTTATCACAATCATCTTAACATTCGCAAATTGTTCAAGTTGGGACCCAAGAGCAAAACATTTAGTTGATTCAGTTTCTATTAGATTTGGATTAATCGTTGCTGGGATAAATTTAGCCGCTGTATGTAAAATAATATTTATTAACTTTATTTTACTAAAAAGTTTTATTTTAAGGCTTCATACACAGGAGCAAGTATGAATCCAGCTCGAAGTTTTGGACCAGCTTTATGGAACAACGATTGGCATTTACATTGGATTTATTGGGTTGGACCTTTAACATCGGCCGTTGTAGGTTCTTTAATTTATAAGTATTTATTTTTAAACATTTACTCCAAAAAGTACATCGAAACTCCTGTTCAAACACATTTAGAGTTGTAATTTAACTATTAAAAATATTAAATAATTAATGTTTTTGTCGCCATGGAAAAAAAACCTTTTAGGAAAATACAGCTAAAAGCTTTTTTTTTTAAACGTCCACCAGTAAAAATCGAACGGGTTCCCGCTGAACTGCCACAGGGTCATTTCATATTACTACCACTACGTCGAGTGTTGAATAAAAGCGGTGCGCGGTGTTGGCTTCAAGCCAAAAGCTGTCCCGGGCAAAAACGGGGCGTGTTTTCTAACTCGCGAAGATGAGGACGAGAGCGTTGAGATTACGAGAGGACTCGGTTATTAAAAAAAAAAGTACCGAAGCATAAGTGTTTTCACTCGTTGAGTAAAAAGTACTTCTTATCGAAAAACATTTATTTTTTTTTAAATTGGTATTAAATATTGATAACCCAACCCTTAACTAACGTATAGTATAACCGACTGACGTCTTCAAACAAATTCAAAACTTGTATTATGCGCAAGAACAATTCCTTAATTAATTGATAATTTAAGAAGAAATGTGGAAGCACGGCTGCTTTAGGGCTGAATTCAACACATCTGAGAATTGCTTAAATATGGTACAAAGAATTATGATACGCGAATGATTCTAGTTCTAGGTATAGTGTTAGTTCTAGTAACAGTGTTAGTGTAAAACTAGCACTAACACTATACCTAGAACTAGAATCATTCGGGTTTAGCGGTACGTCACTCAAGACGGCTAAACCCGAATGGTTCTAGTTCTAGGTATAGTAATTAATTCTAGTAACAGTGCTAGTGTAAAACTAGAACTAACACTATACCTAGAACTAGAATCATTCGGGTTTAGCCGCACGTCTCTCAAGACGGCTAAACCGGAATGATTCTAGTTCTAGGTATAGTGTTAGTTCTAGTAACAGTGCTAGTTTTACACTAGTTTAACACTAGACCTAGAAGTAAAAACATTCAGGTTTAGCCGCACGTCTCGCAAGACAGCTAAACCCGAATGATTTTAGTTCTTGGTATAGTAATTAGTTCTAGTAACAGTGCTAATGTAAAACTAGAACTAACACTATACCTAGAACTAGAATCATTCGGGTTTAGCCGCACGTCACTCAAGACGGCTAAACCCGAATGATTCTAGTTCTAGGTAAAGTGTTAGTTCTAGTAACAGTGCTAGTGTAAGTGCTAGTGTCTGAAGAGGCACGGCTAAACCCGAAACTTTCTGGTTCTAGGTCTAGTGTTAATTCTAGTTCTAATTCAATGAAAAACTACAACTAGAATTTAATTTGATTGAGGTGGTACTTAAATAACTTCGTGAGGGGTCTTTGTTAATTTTTTTAAATTAAATTTCAAGAAATTTCGTCAAAACATCAAAACATATGTGTGGAGAATGATTTCTTGTTTCCCATTTAAGATTTACAACATTTATATTCTAAGCTATTATTACATGAAAGATTTTTTTACTTACCATTATTAAATTGTTCAAACTTTTTGTTTGAATCGCCTCATAAACAGTTTTGATGTCGGATCTGCAACAAGAAAAAGAAAAAAATTTTAAAACTAATTAAATTGTTTTATCTTAATGATCTTTAACTTTAACATTTCTAAATTAAAATATTATGGTATTATTTTAAAGATTTTTTATTAATTTTACTCAACGACGATGATAAACAGAATTATCTCTTCGTAAATGGCGAATATAAACCTGGACCTGGCCTAATTAACTTGAGATTCTAATATAATAAAGAGAGCTTGGCTACCCCATTAATCTTATCTAAATTATCCTATTAGTCGACTAGAAAAACCGCTCCTAGTAATGGGGCGATTTAATTAAAGCTTCGACCATGCATGAGCAGTTCCCGAACAATTTTTCTTTTATATTCCGGTTTACGGAGATTGGAATGCGTAATCAAACCCATTTTCAATGAAGTGAACGGGATGGCCCGAATGCTGACCTGTCTTCACACTTGATAGAGTAAGCCACTTTTTCAACCAGTTCTAAATCTAATCGATTTCCTGCTAGATTTTCAACATTAATCGAGGAATTATACGTTTGATTGAGTATCTTAGAAACGATTTGCATGCAGAATCAGCAATTTTTATTTCAAACCCAACCAAACTTTACCAATAATAAGAACACTAAGAAATTATTATCTTTTAACCATAAACTTATTTGAAATGTAATAAAACAAGCTGCTTGGGTCGTAAATCAACGGACGAATCGCTACCACCTATTTATAAATGAGGTTTATTGATCTTGGATTCGCCTCGGACTCGAACGAACTTACTGTTTCGCCGTGCATAAAACGGAACGTAAACATAAAATGTAAACCTAAAATGTAAACCGAAAACGTAAACCTCAGCTTTAACACTATTTATAACTTCGAATCTAATTGACGGTTTCAGTACATCACGCACTTGCAATTTTAAAGCCAACATCAGGTAAAGACTAGTGGGTTCAAAATTAACCAACAATTCTTACATGCGATATTTACTCGTTATCAGAAAATTTTAAATCAAATTATCAAAAATGTATCAAAGATTGCGAACAGTTACTTCAAATTATTTGTCACGTATATTTATGTCAAGTATATTTTCATTCCAAATCTAAATATGCTATTCAGAGACATCCTGAAAATACACATCAACAGTGAGTTCCTCTTAATTTAGCCTCTTCTTTTTTAATCCGCCACGACACAAGGTCAACGTCTCTTCTTCCTCTCTTATTATTTCAAAGTGTTCCAACCGAGAGGGAAGAAACCACTAATTAAACTCGGCTTCAGTGCAATTATTAAATTTAACAGCATGCTGTACAGCATGGTTTTGTCGATTTAGGGTAATTAGCTAATTTTCATCTTGAAAATTCTATTTCCGAGGTCGAGATGCAGTGTGTTTGAGATGACGCTGCTGCCGCTGCATTGAAATCCTTTGAAAATACCCTCAACAAAGAGCTTGGAAATCGGGAAGGGAATGTGTGTGTGATAAGGGCTCTAAGTAATAGCCGAGTTCAATGGAGATTATGCTGCGATTTTCAAGAGGATTGTGGGTGGTAGACAAAAGAATTGTATGAAAAAAGATTTTTCATTTCTCATCGGGGACTATAAAGAGAGATTAAAGCTACAATTGAAAAAAAATGGTCATTAAAAGAGGAAAATCATTATTAAACATAATAGAATTAAAAACAATAACCAAAAAAACTAAATGAACAAGCAACGGTTATTTTCAGGGTGGTTTTTGAACCCTCAATTCCCCCATGTAGAATTTGAATTAAAATTTTGCTAATTATTCCGAACGATGTACCCTCCACAAAGCGCAATTACCACTATTTTCATTCCCTACTTCATTCGAGTAACAAAAAAAAAATTCAATGAACTGTTGTTGAGGGTCGGAGCATGTGTGATTCACGTTTCCATCCCCTTTAGGGTTGTTTTAATAATTCCAACATTTCGGTTGATTTTAGAAAATAAAAAGATAAATAGAAATCTCTGTGGTTATTTAAAGATTTATTTGATTCTTTTTATGTGTTAAAAGGCCGTTACCGAAGTGATTTACTATCGAGAAAAGGAATCCGGCTTTCACATAAATCTTGTAAACGACCAAGCATATTTGAACTTGTTGAAAACAAAATAATTATTGTGATGTTGAAAAGAGGTTGAAAATGTTTTTAGTTAAACCAAAGTGTCAAAATAGAAAAGTTGGTATCCCTATTTTATAGTTGAAAAGTTCCCTTTTTATTTTTTTTTACGACAACAAAAAACAATAGGAACGCCTCCGGTTGCGCTAACAGAAGGTTTTCCGGGTAATGGTGTTGTTCTCAATTCTTTTCGTCTTATTTCAGCAGTATTGTTCGCAATTTGTCATTGTAACGGGCGGTGAGAATCAATATAAAAAGACGTCTCGAAATCGTATGGAATTTTTCGAAACTTTTCTTGTTATATCAATGACAAGTCAACGCCTTCCATCCGACAAGTTTTATCGAAATTCAACTCGGAATACATATCGTAAAATGTAAAGAATTCGTTACATTACGTCTTTTTTGCATTAAAGATTTTATAAATTGTACCTGTATCAGTAAAAAGAGTTTTAAATGTTTGTTTTTGACATGATCGTAAACTATTCTAAATGCGATTTTAACGACACGCTCCTTGGTGGCGATGTAATATACCTTCTTTATCGCAATGTTCGCGTTACAGCAGTTTCGTACGCAGATCTGAATCATAAATAAAATTAATAACCGTAAAATACGACCAGAACATAACCTTGGTACTGTCAAATTAATGTCTTCTTCTTCTTCCTCTTTTTGCTTTGTATTCTATAATCTAGATATGTGGCTAGGATGATGAATTCCGGCTTTCATACCACCTTGTGGGCGGGCATCCAGGAAATCTCTTTGATCTTATGATACCATCCCTTGCAATTTTCAGCAATCTGTTGTCATCCATCCGCTCAACATAGTCCCTCCATGCGCAACGTCTTCTTCGGACGCTTCTCTTATGGTCCCTCATAGTGTAGCCTGTTATGGATCGTAGGTTCCTCATCTTTGCTGTTGGAACGATTCTTTTTGTTGTAAACTGTCAAATTAATGTCTTCTTCGTCTTCCTCTTTTCAAGGCCTTTGTCTTGTACTCTATAATTTAGAAACGATGATGAATTCCAACTTTCATAATTCGTATTCTTGCATTAATTCTCCTTTGTAATTGTATTCTACTTGTATGAATGGCAAATTACCTTTCCTGTTTCAAACTCCTAATAATTAGGTATGACAAATAAGGAATTGATTGACATTATTGTAAGCGAAATTGTACCCCTCATTGTTTCCCGAATTGTAAACACCATTGAGAGAAATTATAGGAAACTTGGAGCATCAAATTACAACTATTACAGAAGTTGTTTCATCATTATCATTAATTAAGGATTGTTTCGAAGGTTAATGGTCATCATTCATTCTGGATGATGAAACCCTGACACGTCTTAAAGTGTTCCAAAACATCAATTAATCAAAAAATACACAAAAAATTATCATCATCGTTATTCAATTAGATCATTACTCCAAGTTCAATTACTATAAGTCATACGGAGTAATGAAGGATTAAGATATATGAATAGTAACTTTCAACTATGTGATTTGCATACTAACGAGAATCACCCAGTGTCTTTACACAGAAAAGATTCAATGTCTCTAAAAGATACGGTGATTTATATGCTAATGGATTTTAGGTAAATCTTCGAAGATAAACTTATCTTAATACTCTTCTTAGAGAAAAGTTAACGAACCCAAATAAAAACTATCATTATCTATACGTTTTATGGGCTACCAGCTACCATCATCACTTAACTCATTTAAAACTGTTAACACTCACCATAATCTCCCAGCCAAATCTTCAATTTAAAATGTTAAATGTTTTATAAACGAAACTTTTTTGTGACACTCAAAACACATAACCAAAATAGTTTATTATCACTAAATTATAGCTAAATCACGACTGTTTCTAAAAATTGATATAAAAAGCGATTTTCGGGCAGTGTTAGTTTGATGTTGGTGTTTCTTTTTTTTAGTTTAAATTAAATAATACGGGTTGTTTGTTTGTTATTTTTGTTATGGACGCGAAATATTTTTTTGTGGGTTTGATAATCGAGGGGCACCTACGAGGAGTTCAGATCCTTTCAGCTACACAACCACCCCCACACTATATGGCAAACCCCGTAGTATATTTATTGATCGGGAGCGTCGGGGCGCAGACGCCATGGGCGTTCAATGAATAAAGGTCTGGAATCGGCGGCAGGGTCTCCTCTCTCTATGTATATGCTTGGAACTGTTTGGAGAGTATCCTCGCCGTCGTCGGAAATAGAAAAAGGAAGATGAACGTTTTATTTACCTGGAGATTTGTTGGATTATAAAGATTTTTTTATATTCTAATTATATGTGTTTAAAACAGATTTTTTTGTATTTTTAGATCGTTTTAATTTCGAAATAGCAGATGTTTCAAACAGCTGTGGTGAAATCCTTTTTAGGGGCGCGATTATTTTTCCTACCTGGGTGGGTCAACCACAAATTTTAAGATTCAAAACGTTTCCATTTACAAAATCAATCAGCTATTATAGTTTCAATTTATACAGCAATGTGTCGGTATGCAAATTCGTTTTACAACGGAGAGATATAAAAATCCATCTCCAATTTGCATATCAAGTAGTAAATGTAGCTTATTGAGCAATAAAATAGGCTTGTACAGTTTAGAAATATCCTACCAAATGATAAAACTGTTTTTTACGACCTCCACAATACAAACCAATCCATTTCGTGTCGAAAAAATGTGGTGTTACGGCAATTCGTATGGTTAAAAAAAAGTTTTATTAATTTACATATTAACTCGGTTACTGGCTAGTATTTGCATAGTATCCACACAGTCTGGTAAAATAAACTGTAAACTTAATTAAAATAACCTTTTTGTGGTAACCATAAAAAAAATTTATGTCAATTTATTTTTGAGGTTAAAAATTTTTGGCGTTTAATATCACAACTAAAAGGATTAATTCGTTTTATCATCTATAGATGATAATATATTATTTTTATTAAAATCTGCTATTTCATTCATTATGATTAAATAAACAAAGAATGTTAAATTAAAAAGCAAATTTTAAAATTGTATTACCTCATTTTATTAAGTTTTACTGTTCATAGATGGAGCTGTTTTTAATTTTAAAATTTTATTTATAAAAAAATTCTAATTAATGTTTTTATGAATCATCTCGTTTTACTCTAATTCTATTAACCCCCATAGTTTTGTACATTAATATGCGTGCTTTGTAACACTTTCAAGTTATAATTTATAAGTATAAAATTTATACTCATCTGTCAAGTAAATTTTGAGGTTAAAAATTTTAAGATTGACGTTTAATGTCACAACTAAATTAATTCGTTTTATCATCAATAGATGGAAGTAATTTCATAATTAATAACAATTTAAAATCAACGTTAATATATTATTTTTATTAAAATCTGCTATTTGATTCATTATGAGTGAATAAACAAAAAATGTTAAATTAAAAAGCAAATTTAAAAATTTTCTTTTAAAATCATTGACGTTCTTGGATTACTTCATGTTATTAACTTTTACTTTTCATAGATGGAGTTGTTTTTAATTTTAAAATTTTATTCTTTATAAAACAATTCTAATTAATGTTTTGATGAATCACCCCGCTTTGCCCTAATTCTATTAACCCTCATAGTTTTGAACAGTAATATGCTTTGTAACACTTCCAAGTTGTAATTTGTAACTCTGTGAAAGGGTTAAACTAGAATAGGTGAAATTTCATAGGGGGTTGGGATAACAAAGTATTCTTGGTATTAATTTATGCAACTTATCATACACCTTTGTTAATTCGGTGTCTGACATTTTTATGTAAAAAAAAATTTAATTTTATTACTTACATTGAATCATCTTGTTGGATTTTCTTTCGCGTATCAACCGCAACGCTATGTCGTATGAAATGGTCCCGTCTTAAGTCTATAATCAAAGTTTAAATATTACTTTATGATTCACACCATTAATTTCCGCAATCGATTACATTTTAATTAATATTCAGATAGTGATTACTCACCGTGATATTTTGCTTTTAAGGCGGTTATACTGCTCATCATTAACGCCCGATGAGAAGATTTTTTTACGCCCAACTCTTTAATATCGGCTTCGGAAAATTCCAAGAGATCTTCGACCCCACTAAATTTCTCGAAGTGATCTTCATAATGTTCTAAATCGAGTATTTTCAACCACTGTTTAATATCGAGATGTTTTCGTTTGTTCGCGTTTATTTCCGTGTTGGTTGCATCGATTGCTCGAGTAATGTAATCGTTATGTTGGGCGGTATCGTGGCGAAAATGTTTTAGAGACAATCGGGAACCAAATCGGGGCCAGGTGAGATCTGAAACCAGAAAACGAATACTTTTAAAACAACTTACTTATATATATCTGTGGCGATATTTTTGTACTTTCTCTGTGTTCTCTCAACCAACAAAGCTAAAATGTCAACTCTACGAAAACGTGAACAGACGGTTTTGGGTGTGTTTTATTTTGAGAATATATTTGCAAACTATAATGGTTGTTGTTGAATGTTTATCATATCAGATAAGTGGTGTGCAAAGAGTAGATAACAAAAAGCTATATATTTCGAAATATTTACGTTTTATATGAAATAAAACAAACATTATTAATGGTAAAAAATTAAATACATATGTAGTATTCTTAGAACTAGCTCGTTGATTATGCCTTTAGTCTGAGTGTGCACCTACGATGGTTTTAATTTGTAATTGTGTGCAAACGAGTTAGTTGCAAATGTAAATTTTACTTTCTCTGTATGTTATTTATAATAAATAAAACAAGTTATAAATAATACTGCAAGGTTTTAAAACTTTACTTTGTTAGTTTTGAGTAGGAAGGAAAAGAAACTTTGATAAAACCTGTTGAGTCTTAATTACAAGAAAAAAACGTAAAAAAAGTTATTTTTAAATTGATGACCTCAACTGCTTGGGTATTTATTTACAATTCAAGAAACAAATAAAATGAAACCACGGGACAACACGGGTATGCACTATACGCTCATCAGCGTTATTGGAAAATCTAAAGGCCAATCGTTGGTTTTGTTATGCAAATTGAAAACAGTTCGATAAACAAAGAATGAGACCAAAAATTTAGGTCGCCAAATACTTAAAATTGAATTGTATCAAAATCGAATTGAAATTAAATCGAAACGGTAGTCGATTTCATTATGTTCTTTTTTCATATTTTTTTGTTGTTGATTGATTCTGACGATTCAGACGCCAGCCCATATTTGGAATTGCGATCACGTGGAGGAGAACGTTGTTGCGTGTCGGTGTCAAGTCATGACAGATGAGAGCCGCCGCCGCACGTAGTTTACTGCGAGTACTACCCACTGTGACACAACTTTGCCGCTAATAATGTAAACGAAACGAAATACTCTCTACGTTCGTGTCTGCTACTGCGGCGTGAGAAAGTACTTTACAAATGAATAGTCGTGAATGTTTTCTTGAGTTACGCGCGAAAATTAAACTTGTTGAAGCTATGAGTTCTACCACAATTTATATTCAATGTGGTTCAACATTGTTTTAACACTTTTCCATCAATTCTGATATGTACCTAACATATTATTGACACATTTCATAAAATATTCATAAATCTTTAACCAACATCTAATATAATTCTTACATATATTGATTTAGACATAGTTTTAATGTATTGCAGAACGTTTTAACACAGTACTAAGAGTTTTGACATATATCTAACAGTTTTGATACATTTCTGAGAAATCTATAAAATAAATCTAACATAATTCTAGCATTCTAGTGTTAGTTCTAATTTTACACCAGCACTGTTACTATGTAGAACTAACACTATACCTAGAACTAGAATCATTTGGGTTTAGCCGCACGTCTCTAAAGACGGCTAAACCCGAATGATTTTAGTTCTAGGTATAGTGTTAGTTCTAGTTTAACACTGATACTGTCACTAAAACTAATATTAGACTTAGAACTAGAAACATTTGGGTTTAGCCGTACGTCTCTTAAGACGGCTAAACCCGAATGATTCTAGATCTAGGTCTTGTGTTAGTTCTAGTGGTAGTTCTAGTTTTAGTTCAATAAAAATATGGAACATAGTGATATCTTATGTTAACTAGCGCTACCTACCACTGTCACTAGAACTAACATTCAGACCACAAACATTTAGACATGTTGCATTTTATGTGGTACAAAGTAAGTAAGTACGCCCTGGTTTCTATGGAAATATATTTTGGTAGGTATTGAGGTGACATATAGAAACTTTATTTCAATTAATTCAAATAAATAAGAAACAATTAACATAAAAAAAATTGAAATGCAATTTAACTTTCAACACTGTTCTACAGCGTTGTCAATTTGTCAAATGACTCAGGTAAGCGTGAGATTTCAGGGTTATTTGTGAGTTCAACACTTGAGTAAACGAGTACAAAAATAAATAACTAAATTTTAACAAAACTCTCAGTGAAATAATTAAAAATATTATCTTACTTGTAGTTAATACGAAGAAAATTAATTAACCAGTTTTTAAATGAAATTGTAATAACATAACCAAACAAAATGATAACTCAAATTAATCGTATTTAAGGTAAGACAACGAATAATAATTAAATTGAAAATTATAACTTAGCTTAATTTTGTAGATTAATGAAGTTCTCGGATAAGGAAACTTGGACTCTTTAAAAAGGAATCGGTAACTAAGATTCTTGATTGGATTGGAATCATTCTTCGGAATGGTATTAATTGGATCAGGAAACAGTCAATTTTCTTGTTTATTATTAAAGGTGACTAATTTTAATTCAAATAATCTTCTTATTCAACTTATTAAAAATAATAAGTTCACTATTTTTGAGGTTATGTCACAATGGTGATTGACAGGTAACCTAATTCTTGTTTTGGTTTTTTAAATGATCGCGGACAAAATTAGCGTGCACTCCTCCGTCACGTTTGAAATCACACTAAAATCTACCAGTTTCGTTTGTTTAATGCTAGAACGTTTTAAATAACGTCTTCTGATTGGTTAAATTCTTTAACTTGAAATTCGTAATTTAAATTTCTCCGGTATGGCCAACTTTGAAATGTCAAATGTCACCAATTAAATTTTATCAAAAATTATTGAAATTTCTATATTATTAATGTTTATGTATGAAATGTTGTGGTTATGTTGCATTAACTATGTTTGTGCCGATTCCGGAACATTTTCTTTTAGATTTCAACCTCCAGCTTCAAAAATACATTCAATTATTTAATCTACGGATTTTCGTCCAATTCATCATCAAAACTCTCATATGATGGATAATTTTCGTTCTTGACATGCTAATATTATCGTTTCCAATAGTTTCAACACGACAAACATGAATTACAATAAGAAATTAATGAAAAATAAAATTTGAGGTTATGTTACTGTCAAAATTCTACTAAATTACTTCGGATTGACCTTACATGGATTAAATACAATAAAAAAAGTAAACGGCCACCAAAATATAATAAATACAAAATCAAATTTCATGTGAGACATAGTTTTAACGTATTGCCGAAATTTCGTGTTCGTGTTGATTTTAAAGTTTTCAATCAACAAAATTATTGCTCCTTTTAAAATATTTTTCTTAATTTATTGTAATTTTAAGTCATCGGTATAAAAATAGATGTTGACTTAAAAAATGTAAAATCACGTCGGCATTTAAATGTTAATAATGCAAAGAATGAGAGTGTATTTGTTACGAACTTGTTTAACGTCGCAATAAATCGTTGCTAAGAAATATTTATAACATTGCTAATTTTCTATTTTGAAATGATGCACGTTTAAAAACTTAATATGTGTTACATAACTGAAGATATTTCTTTACAACAATAATATCTATTTTGCAAAATGACTTTTCATTATTTGAACAGAAATAATTAAAATATATAAAAATTTTTAAAGTTTTATATTAATTTTGATTAATTATATACAACAAACGACATAATATTCCTATACAAGTGTACCAAGTAGGTATTAGCTAAAAATCAGGGAAACATTGGCTTTTATTTAAATAAGTCGTGATCGCTTGCGGCCGAAGTTCTGCGATTGATATCATGTTTAAACAAAGCTGCCCAGCACATTCCAGGAATTAATTTAACAGGGTCAACAATTCAAGAGAGAATCTTGAGAATTTGCTTCTCCATCTACTTTGAAGTGTTAATGACTTCAAAGACACAGACTACTAACACAGACTACTTTGTCAACATCTTATTTAAACAGCTACAAGCTCTATGGCCACTTCCAAAAGCTGCGTCGAGAGTAACCCGAAAAAGAAAAAATTAAATCTATTAAGAAAAAGGCGTAAAATCGTGAAACTATTTTGCCAAAGATAACAAAAATGTCTACTTTTTAACGAAACCCCCATTTAATTGATACATAAATAACTTAAAAACACAAGTAATTAGTAAGAAAAATACGCACCTCGTATTGTAGTCATTATATTCTCTAAATGCACAAAAAAAAAGACTTTAACAATATATTTTTGGTTAGTTTATAACCGGCGCCTAAAACATATTGATTTGTGAACCGCGGATACACTTTTATCTCCGGTTATCGTGATAACCGAGATACATATTTATACATGTAACAAATATCGATAGTGGCTTATTTATACATCCGAAAACGAATTTTATGTTAAAGTTTTCTTGAAAACCACTTTTGGAATGTGAAATTCCGAGATAAAATATATTTTAATATTAATTATCCCAAAAATTTATACCCTACATTTAAATTTATGTAAATTTTCGAATAAGTTAACGAAATATATAAATTGAAAAAGAGAGCCTTGTCAACTTTTTGTTTTATCATTTTTTTAGTTATTTTGAAAACATTTTTTAAAACTTGGATGATTAAATGTCAAGGTCATAAGAAAATTTTTAATCAAAGATTTAATCAATTTATATAAATTATCTAATAATCTCTTTCATCGTTCTATTTACAAACATCTGCTAAACGTCTGGTTAGAACATTAATTCAAAAAAAAATTGCTACTATGTTTAAAGCTTCCGCTTTATCGTAATCACTGTACACTTTTACATCTGGCCTCTTTAACCATATGCTTCATTTTATTGTTTATTAAAAAGAAAACAACAAAAAATCATCTCTGCACAAACAGAGAGAGCAATAATTTAGCATCATCTGGTTCTATTAAAACTGACGCCTGTTAACTTGAAGAGTTACTGCAATCGTTGTTGCAACAAGTATTATTGCGATATATATCGACTACATTAATTGCTGTACTATTTAAATAGTTATGATTGGGTTCAATTGGATAATTAATCGTTTCGTGAGTTATTTTCGTTCGAAATGGTCAGTTTTTTTAATCTTTTTTATTATTGTGTTACGTGACGTTCTAAAATAGTCAGGTTAGGTCAAGCATGTCGAGTGGAATTCCGAGGCAAGGTCGTTTGAGTCGCTTTTTCTTGGAAGGACTCTGTCAACCCAACACGGTAGCAAATCACCTCGGAAATAACGTCCCGTGGGTATTCTAGAAGAGACAAAGTGACTTTTCTCGTGAATTTCACACGGTCCAATATCAATGTTATACGATAAGATAATTCTAGATCTATTTTAAATATTAAAAGTTAATTCTTGGAGAATTAATATCATTGATGACTCGTTTATAAGTAAATATAGTGAAACATTCTCGCCGTTTACAAAATTACTAAGAATTCCTTTTTAAGAAATCATGAATGAAATCCCGATTTCACAACTTCCTCTAATAAAAATTAGTAATTCACTAAAATTATCTTATTCAAAAACATAATTTTAGATAACCCCAAAGCCATGTTTTATCTTTGCGTGTGTAATGGTCAAAGGGGCACCAAAACTCCGATTTTCTAATCCTATAAAATAATAAATATCGTTTTTTTTTTTGCAATCTGATTGAACAACGAGATTCTTTGTTTTGGTTAATAAATTATGCGTTCTCGCGTTTCTGTTCATTTAGAAGTCAAGATGAATAAGAGGCGTCGTGAAATATAACCCTTATTTGCATTCAACAACAGTGATAAGCCTTCCGTTTCTGCGGTTTCTTGCCACTTATCCTTTTAGCGGCATCTATGGCGAATGGTAAAAAGCAAAGCAAATTCAGGGTGGTCCAAATATCGAGTTACACGAAATAATTTATGATCAAAGTATATTATATTATATACTTTACACATTATTCATTGGCAACTTCACGTTATTGATTAAGAATTATCTTGAAATTTAATCCTTCATTATGGGGAAACAATAATATTTCTCGTTCCGAGAACTAGATACACGAACCCACGTGCATTGTTGACAAAATTTAAAACGAAAACGAATGTAAAACGAAGCTGTTTGAAATACATACCTTCGCACTACAAACACAATGCAAAATACCAAGGAATCCACTTTTTTTTTCATAACACAAAACGATTTCGTCACAAAACGTATACAGTTCTATTTTTATAAAGTAAACAAGTCTACTTTTTGCTTTCTCAATGCCTTTGGAAAGAAGAAAAAGAAACACAACGATGGTGTCTTCATCAATAAGAGACACACAACAGTGGTTTCTCGATAAAATGAGTGATAATACTAAAAATTTTATTACAAGTTTATTTTAAACCTAAATAGACACAAAAACAAATACGTTAACGACTATTTATGTTTTATTAATGATTATTTAGTATGGTGGGGTTAAAACCAGCAACTAACAAATAAATGTTAATAATTCAACAGATTTTGGGTTCCTATAACAAATTTACGAATACATATGTGTTAAAATAATCCGTTATTCTACGTTTTTAGTGATAATTGGTAGTAAAACGAAAAATAAATATCGAAATTCACATATTTCTATTTTTTGTGTTTGGTTTGAAACTTTTTTCACGAAAATTTATTTTTTAAATGACTATTTGCTTACATCAAAAATGTTTTTACTTACATTTAACAACTTGTAGCGTAAACCGGAAATGCAGCACGTGTGAATCACCTATCGAAGGTTATAAAATGTGATGATTTGTAATCATGAAGTGGAGAGTAACGTTGTACACGATTTCTTTCTTCTAAAAATATATTTATAATGATAAAAATATATATTACACATTTATTTGTCAACTTATACAGGTGTCTCAGCGAGACCGGTCATTAGACGTTTCTGGGGTTCTGGTGAAAATAAAAATTTGAGAATTCAGACTTAAGTATTATCAATTACGATCTCTTCGACTAAAATATTTTCAGATTTCTTGCACTTCCGGTTATACCGGAAGTCGCCACCAACTTTATTTTTTTAAATGGAACACCCTGTATATTTTTACATATTTGGATTTGTCTGTTTTCAAGGTTTATAAATAACTTTACTTTTTGCAATTTGATTCGGTCGTTCTCGAGTTATTCGAATTTTTCTAGAAAAATCTGCTCCAGCAGACATTTGTTCAAAAAATCAGAAAACACTCAATTTTTGGGATATCAATTTAGGATTGAGAACATGCTTAAGCAACATGATGGAGTATGTTTTGGTGCCGAGAACTGCGGTCTAGAACGTTTGATCACTTTACTATGGCACGTTAACTTTTCAAAATTTGGAAGTACCATAACTTCATTTTTTTAAATGGCACCCCCCATATTTTATTTTTTAGTCGTCTTCGGTGTCTCATTCTACATCTTTTATATCCCATATGGCCCATACCTAATATTAATAGTTTGGGAGATAATTAGGGTTTTTTGAAAAATGCACACATATCATATGGATATTTAGCCTAGTGTGCCATGAAAAACAAGCCTTCTCAATGAGTTCTTGTCAAAGACTCACTTGTTTACGTCACTTGATGCATGTGAGCTAATAATTATCTGTTATGTCCCTTAATATTAGTACTGAAACGAGTTAAAATCGATAACAATAACGAAAGTAATATTTACACAAATCAAGAAATTCTTAATTTATTTTTTTTGCATGAAAAGCGCGACAAAGTTCGTAGTATGATTCCCAGATCTTCTTTGGCAGCTCGAATTGAGGTGTTGGGACTGGGCTCGAAATAAGCCAAGGTATTCACCTCTTCCGTTGCATTATCTACTACATTTTTTGGTCAGTTTAACACGTGATTAATTCGTCCAAAATGCAAAAAATTTGCTTCTATTCCTCTAAATTTACCTTTTGTCATCGGAGATAAATGTGGATAATTTTCATTAAACATTCTGCAAGTTCTACTAAGAACTTTGTCGCACTTTTCGTGCACAAAAAATAAATTATGGATTTCTTCATTTGTATAAACATTATTTACGTTATTAATATCCATTTTAACTGGTTTTAGACTCACAAGCATCAAACAACCTAAATTAGACTTTGACGTTTATCAATAAGTCATTAAACATTTGTTTTCCATGGCACACTAGGTTAATATCGATATGATATGTGAGCATTTTTCAAAAAACCCTAATTATTTCTCAAACTATTAATGTTAGGCATAGGACATATGGAATATAAAAGATGTAAAATGAGACGCCGAAGACGACTAAGTAATAAAATATGGGGGGTGCCATTTAAAAAAATGAAGTTATGGTGCTTCCAAATTTCGAAAAGTTAACGTATCATAGTAAAGTGACCAAACGTTCTAGACAGCCGTTCTCGGCACCAAAACATACTCCATCATGTTGTTTAAGCATGTTCTGAATCCTAAATTGATATCTCAAAAATCGAGTGTTCTATGATTTTTTGAACAAATGTCCGCTGGAGCAGATTTTTCTAGAAAAATTCGAATAACTCGAGAACGGCCGAATCAAATTGCAAAAAGTAAAGTTATTTATAAACCTTCAAAACAGACAAATCCAAATATGTAAAAATATACAGGGTGTTCCATTTAAAAAAATAAAGTAGGTGGCGACTTCCGGTATAAACGGAAGTGCTAGAAATCTGAAAATATTTTAGACGAAGAGAACGTAATTGATAACTTAAGTCTGAATTCTCAATTTTTTATTTTGGCCAGAACCACAGAAACGTCTAATGACCGGTCTCGCTGAGACACCCTGTATATGTATATTACTCAGATTCTGTTGACCAAGAAATTACTAAGTTAATGATGTGGCTTGGAGTTCATCATTAACAAAAATTTAGGATTCCAAATTGTATTGCATTTTAAAGAGTTATAACCTGAACTTCTACGTGTATGTATGAATTGAAAGAGTTAATTGTAATGTGTTCTACTTTATTGGGTTGGAATTGCGATTATGGATTAATGAGTTATAACCATCTCACGTAATTGATCACATTTCTAAATATTTTGACAACCAAGAGGATATTTTGACTTTCTTAACTTTGTGTTTAAATGCATTTTTATGATTTCTGAGAAATAGGTAACTTTTTCCACTAGCTGGCAGTTGAACGATTAACTTATTATTTGTAATTTGCCCCTTTGAGTCCAATACAGTTTCTTTCTCATTTCAAGCTTCCAAAACATTATTCGGGAATCATGCTTTCATGAATTACTCATCAAAACATTTCTCCATTTATCCCTATTCTCAGTCATCTTGAATGGGTGCGCCAGACTTTGTCCAGTAATGTTTGTGATAAGGTGTACCGTTATAAGGGTCACCTTTTCACTTCTCCTCTGTGTCTACGGAATTCTTAACATTTTGCACCAGCAACACATCTCAACGGCATCGATTTTCTTTTTGTACGTTGTTTTTAACGACTAGCACTTTAATCCGTAAAGAAAGATACGAAAGACCAGGTTCCTCACCAACCTTATTTTCGTTTTCAAACAGATACTCAACTAACAAAGATTTGACTTTGCTGCTTGGCCGCCTTTATTTCTCCTGGGGACCATCGTTTTGCAAAAATTTTAATCTCAGTGTTAGCCACATTAAAATAATCACCCGGTATACATATTTGCTTTTTAATTGTTATATCAAAATAGAATCTACAATGTATAAATACTCTCTTATCTCAAAAATGTCTGTTATCAATATAGATCATTTATCTTGAACCATAAAGTATGCTAATCCAACATATTTCTAGTTCGCCATTTTAGACCGTGCAAATAATGAACTATTCAACCCAACAATGCCAATGCTTGTTTTAAATATGCGAGATTATTACTAATTGATTTTGAATGCTAATTATTTAGTTTGCTTAACTTTTTAGACTTGTTATTATTTTATTATCGAAGGCCAAAATTATGTTATACTTACTAGACCCACTACGTTTGTGTTTTAATTTGCTCGATGATTTTCCCATTTTTTTATTTATGCACAAATTTAAATTAACATCGCACAAAACATTTTTACGAGCACTGCAAATTCCTTTTCACAACACACTGATATTTCCAAGGATTCTATAAGTTATTGTTAAAATTTTTGTGTTTTCTGCTTACACATGCTACCGGAACGATGAGCACTGGACGATAAAATCCGGTCGCATATGTGACGAGTCCGCCGCCACTGCTTCACACTGTAACGTGATACATAGGAAAGCGATTGTGAGTTTAAACGTTCGGTAAAGAACTCCGGGACCTTCTGAGTAGGTGGGGGCCTCTCTCTTTCAGTAAGCAGCCTGTTAGTCAATGAATGAACTTTTACCTGGGTGGGATTGGGATTTTTGGGAGCTATGTTTAATTAGGTGACTAAAGTTTTCTAAATCAATAATGAATTCAATTGCCTGTTTTCAATAAACCTTGTAAACAAAAAAATATATAAATAATTACTTGAATATATCATCGATATATTTACATTATGATTAAATTTTTGCGTACAAACAAGTCGTTAATCTTTACGTTACGTAAATTGACATCAACGATTCTCTATTTATTACATCATTCTTTACTATGAGAATCTTTTCACTTTCAGTAACATTTCACGTCTTGCGATATTTGCTTTGTTATCGTCGGTTATATCGACACAACGATAACGGATCTGTAGGAGTCGGTCTAGTTTCACTTACTTAATAGATAGACACATAAACTGTCAGGTCAAGGACCTGTAAAGGTACAGTTGGGATTTATACATACATATGGATATATCAAGGGATCTCTAAGAGCCGTTCTCTCTCTTTCTGTTTGTTTTAATGCGGTTGGTAAAGTTTTCAGTTGGCGAGCGAAACAAATAAATCAAATATGAGTATAATATTTGAGTTGGGATCGTTGCCATTTAAAACTAGACATAATTGATGATAAGCTTAGGGTTTCTTAAATAAAAAAAATAATAAAGATAACGAAGTGAATTATGATAAAAGATTTAAAAGTTTAATGAGGATCATTTATAACGGCTATAAATGAATCTATAATCTGACTAAAAGATCTTCTTAAATATAACGATATCTATTTCAATATATGTTATGTATTTTGCACCCGTGCGACGATAGCAACAAACTACTTTCTTAGCTGATATCTTCCTTATAATTAGGGATACCGAAAACTAAATGCACCACTTGAAAGCTTGAATCTTTCTCTATCTAAAACCGGGTTTTCGTCTGCCGATAAGTTGATATTAAGATCAATAAAAAATGAAGAACACCGCGCTGTACTTAAAATAGCTCAAAATTACCAAGGCCTTGTGCAATTGTTACGAAACAGAATTTTAAAAAACTGTTATCACAGTCAGAAAGGTTGCTCCTTCAGCTCTCTTAATCCGGGTTTTCGTCGGTCAATATCTATCGGCGTCATGCTTAAATCACCCTTAATGTCCATCCCTACACGCAGAAACGCTTAAATACTCTTCCTCTAAACAACTTTCTTATTTGATAGGGAGAAAACTATAGAAACATATCTATCTNATTTGTGGTTAAAAATTAGCCTAACAATGTTATTAGTTGATGTAGATATTTTCAAATAGTTGATTTACTTTGTCGAATATTTAGAAGATTTGTTGATAATATACTTGAAAGAACTAATGTTCTAGTGGTGACTGTTTCTAATTATGTATTCATTTGATCTACATCTTTAGATAGATTGACTAAAATAGAATGAATGATTTATCTTAAATGTAGTAAAGCCAAAAGAAATGGATTAGCTATTATCACAATTCCTTTAGATGAATAATCTAATAATTTATTGTTGATATGTCTAAATAAGTAGTAATTCCAACCACATTTATATATATGTTTCTGCTAGGTTTTTTAGTTATGTTACCTAAATTATATAGATGAATCTTTACATAATATTAGATAATATTACTAGAATTAGTAGATATATTTTCTACTATACATTAGGTATAAGTACTATTGTTGCTGTCATTTTAAGTATAAATAAAAGAAATGAAAACTGTATTTAAATGATTTATTTAATAAAATAAATACAGGAAATATAAATAAATAAATAAAATTGTTACATTTACATACATTAAAATGTTACATATTGTTCTTTCCACTGAAACAAACATTTTCTAAATTTTATTCGTTGTCCAAATTTATCAGCAATATCGGATATGGTCAATTCTTTAAAAACCTCAATATCAATCTTTTTAGCTATAAATAAATCACAAATTTAAACATTTCTAATCTGTTGTTAACAGTTTACAGGTTGTCTTATAAAAATACTAAGCGGTATCGTTTCTTTGTTAATTTCATTCAAATACACATACCTATCTGATATTCGTTATGGAAAATTCGTATACAATCATCAAACCACCGACTTTATTGGATAACTCAACCAATCTTGTGAACTAATTTTACTAATGGGTAAATAGATAATCGAACTAATTTTTAGATAAATGATCTATTTGAAATAAACTCAAGTCCGTAAATGATATTTTTATGTAGGTTTAACAAGTTAAATAATATTCATAATCAGATAGTAATTATAATAAGAAAAAAAATGCTTGAATTGGTTTTTATAAACAACCTGCATAAGGGTACGAACACGTAGAACGCTGATTCGTGCTTTTTGTAAGCGCTTGTGTGCCAGCGCAAGTAATCCAGATAAATCCTTGTGGCCTGCGTATGTCTGGAGATAAAACTATATTATACTGGCTTGATGCATTTTATCAACAAGCGCTTGCAACCAGCGCGAACCAGCGTTCTACGTGTTCGTACCATACTACATATTATATTATAATGAAATTCGTTTAAACAGAAATATTACTCTGATGATCTACCGACTTTAACTAATAATTAANCAATTTAAGAAATAATTAATTTTAGACTTTCATGATTTTAATTAACTGTTTGATATTTATAGAGAGGACCGGTTGTTAAAGTGTGTATGGGTTTAGAACCGGCATTTTACGTTGATTCAGGGCCTCCAACCTTCGCTTTTAATCCATGTGGTCATATGGGTACAGAAAAAACTGTCAAGTAAGTATACGTTATTACAATAATTATTTTGTTAAGTAATGAAATGAAGTACAAAACGTAGTAAAGTTTTATCTGTTGATCCTTCATCGAATAAAGTAAAAAAGTACAAGTGTGTATATCATAGCAAAGTTTTTGAAATAAAATTTTTAGTCAACAAAATTATATTTAATTCCTTACACATTGTTATCTCGCACAAACTATTTTCACTACACAGAAAGAAAAGATTGGGTATATTTAACTAAACATTGGGCATAATTATCTAGAATTTGTGGTTAAAAATTAGCCTAACAATGTTATTAGTTGATGTAGATATTTTCAAATAGTTGATTTACTTTGTCGAATATTTAGAAGATTTGTTGATAATATACTTNTGAGTTAAACATATTCCCCAAATTTCATTTTCCTAGCGTTTATGGTTTTTGAGAAAAAAAAATAAACCAAAATTTTCCGCCATTTTTGAAGGGGTATAGTTCCTTAGGAGAGCCGAAGTCGCCCATGGTTCATATATCAAAGTACCCTTAAAATTCACTAAAGAATCACCCCTTGAAGTTTGTTGCAGTCATTCATATACACCCTGTACAATTTAAGAAATAATTAATTTTAGACTTTCATGATTTTAATTAACTGTTTGATATTTATAGAGAGGACCGGTTGTTAAAGTGTGTATGGGTTTAGAACCGGCATTTTACGTTGATTCAGGGCCTCCAACCTTCGCTTTTAATCCATGTGGTCATATGGGTACAGAAAAAACTGTCAAGTAAGTATACGTTATTACAATAATTATTTTGTTAAGTAATGAAATGAAGTACAAAACGTAGTAAAGTTTTATCTGTTGATCCTTCATCGAATAAAGTAAAAAAGTACAAGTGTGTATATCATAGCAAAGTTTTTGAAATTAAATTTTTAGTCAACAAAATTATATTTAATTCCTTACACATTGTTATCTCGCACAAACTATTTTCACTACACAGAAAGAAAAGATTGGGTATATTTAACTAAACATTGGGCATAATTATCTAGAATTTGTGGTTAAAAATTAGCCTAACAATGTTATTAGTTGATGTAGATATTTTCAAATAGTTGATTTACTTTGTCGAATATTTAGAAGATTTGTTGATAATATACTTGAAAGAACTAATGTTCTAGTGGTGACTGTTTCTAATTATGTATTCATTTGATCTACATCTTTAGATAGATTGACTAAAATAGAATGAATGATTTATCTTAAATGTAGTAAAGCCAAAAGAAATGGATTAGCTATTATCACAATTCCTTTAGATGAATTATCTAATAATTTATTGTTGATATGTCTAAATAAGTAGTAATTCCAATTACATTTATATATATGTTTCTGCTAGGTTTTTTAGTTATGTTACCTAAATTATATAGATAAATCTTTACATAATATTAGATAATATTACTAGAATTAGTAGATATATTTTCTACTATACATTAGGTATAAGTACTATTGTTGCTGTCATTTTAGGTATAAATAAAAGAAATGAAAACTGTATTTAAATGATTTATTTAATAAAATAAATACAGGAAATATAAATAAATAAATAAAATTGTTACATTTACATACATTAAAATGTTACATATTGTTCTTTCCACTGAAACAAACATTTTCTAAATTTTATTCGTTGTCCAAATTTATCAGCAGGTATTAGATTGTCAATATCGGATATGGTCAATTCTTTAAAAACCTCAATATCAATCTTTTTAGCTATAAATAAATCACAAATTTAAACATTTCTAATCTGTTGTTAACCAGTTTACAGGTTGTCTTATAAAAATACCAAGCGGTATCGTTTCTTTGTTAATTTCATTCAAATACACATACCTATCTGATATTCGTTATGGAAAATTCGTATACAATCATCAAACTACCGACTTTATTGGATAACTCAACCAATCTTGTGAACTAATTTTACTAATGGGTAAATAGATAATCGAACTAATTTTTAGATAAATGATCTATTTGAAATAAACTCAAGTCCGTAAATGATATTTTTATGTAGGTTTAACAAGTTAAATAATATTCATAATCAGATAGTAATTATAATAAGAAAAAAAATGCTTGGATTGGTTTTTATAAACAACCTGCATAAGGGTACGAACACGTAGAACGCTGATTCGTGCTTTTTGTAAGCGCTTGTGTGCCAGCGCAAGTAATCCAGATAAATCCTTAT